TTTTCTTTCTCCCCCACTCAACAGGCAATGCAAGTCCCAAACTACCGCGCGGGATGCAAGGCGAAGAGACCACCATCACTCACGTTAACGCCTGAGCTCCACGCCTTCAACTTAACTGTGGTGCTTGGATGCTTGGATTGCTTGGTCTGCTTGGTCTGCTGGTGCGCCCCTGTACCCAGGCCAGCAGTGATCCTGGGGAAACTCTCCACCAGCAGGGTTCTTCTCGCTGAAGCTGACGCGTTCATCTAAGCTCCTTTGAGCTTGCCCGCTTTTTCGGGATTCCTATTATGTAAAGTCCTTGGGCGCTGAATTCTCTTGAAGCTGCGCTTTTTCATGGCTGTTTTGGGTTCGAGGGCTCGGCTTCGAGTTACCCGTGTTGCTCTCCCGCCTTTGAGAGACGCTCTCGCGGTTGCCGTGCATGATATGTCATCGCCAGTTTGCCTGGAAATATGGCATCCCTGGCGCTTGCACTTGTTTAAGTGCAGAGTGGATGTTGCTGTATGTAAGTAAGACTGGAGGTATCGTAACTTTTCTCCATCAGCGAGTTTCACTTTTTCTTTCGCTCCTCCGCCATTTTTTGCATCTTGCACAAACTTCTTTTTGCAAACATGGATTAGGTAATCCTTGCTAGAGATCGCTGAGTTTATCTGTTTATCGCAAAAAAGGGGTTTTTTGGTGACTGTCGATTGTATTTTATTGCATGCGATGACATGCATCAAACGTCAAGATCAGGCTCGTTTTCTGTTTCTACAGCTTGCCACTCTGCTGATGGGTGGGCATTTCTCGGTGGTTGTGACTTCAGCTTGATTGGGGAGATATGTGCCGTACGTGTCACCGCATGATTGCTTCTGCTGCTTGCTCTTCTTTGTGCTGTTGTGGCGAGCTGCAAGGGAATGTGTACCTTCGGGATTAGGAGCTTAACTGTGCGCTTGAGCCTCTCGGTGGAAATCAACCCTTTTGGAGGTTGTGGTGTGGGTGCGGGTGTTGCTTCTGAGCGCGGAGTATGGAATATAGACATAATTATGGGAATATGAAAAGCAACCAGGCGCCACGGATATGCGGACTAATGGAAACTTTTATTTCTCTTGTATCATAAACCATCGGCTCCTGGTTTTGCATCATTTATCGGTAGAAAACCGACATTGAATACTCATATCAGCGCGGGTGGTCGAAGTCATATCGAAATGGGGGTAGACAGATACTGGGAAAAGAAGCAAATGTGGGCAGCTTTCAGACATCTCTCTCCTTAGGTCGAGATTGCATCTCATATGTGTGTCATGAGAGAAGATCAATCACTTTGTTCTGGGGAAAGAAAAACTCCCGAGTTGAAAGTTTGCGGTCGATCTTCCAGAGACCTGGGATTGGGACGCTCCTCTCCTCGTTCCTCTCTGCTGGACTCTCAAGCCCGCTCTCTTTGTTGCTGTGGCGGCTCTGATGGCTGGCTCAAGATTAGCATAGTCATGTCGATCAGCCTTGGACGGGGCCACATACTATTTACTTGGTCGTACATAGTATGAACGTATACATGCGCTGTATATGCAGTAGCTACCTTTAGGTCACAAAAAGGCGGTCGCAAAGCGGCCTTCCAGGATGCAATGCATCCTGCAATGGTTTTGGATACGTTTCTTCCGGAGACGGGCTGGCTGGGTTGGTGAGCTTCGGGGGAAAAAAGAACGACATGGAATGGCGTCGCTGTGCAGAAGAAGTGGTCTTGTTTGTTTGTTTTTTTCGTACTCACCGTTGATTTCGAGTCGATCACAGCGTGGGAGAAGAGGAATGAAAAAGCATCATCCAGAAGAAGATCTTCTCTTCGAGTTCTAGGATAAAAGAAAACGAGTAACGGTGACCTTGGCTTGTCTCGCAGTAACCATGACTTCTCACTCGACTTCTTCGAAGATCTCTCTGTCCAGGGACGATCACTCTCGAGACATAAGCTTATCCATGGAGTAGCTTAATTCGACCTCAGTATCAAAAATTTCTGCACCGCAACATCCAAAGCCACGCCTGACAACTCATCTTTTCTCCCTCTTAAGACTGCGTGTTAATTGTCTTGAGTGCGGAGCAAGTATGCTTGATTATGGATTCCCAGTATAAACTAGCTGGTGGAAAGAGACGCCCTTGCGGCCAATGAAGGCGAAAAAGAACCACGACCCCCCCAGTAACAAGATGCACGGAATATTGGCAAAGGGGCTGTGCTGTAACTACTCCGTACATGAAGCAGCCATCATGTGAGACCAACGTTCGACCCTCCAGGCGGCCCTTTCCTCTCCGCCCCGTTTCCGTGTCTGAGCCATGGACAGACCCTCGATATTTCATGCCGAAGTGACGGGCCACTCTGACCTAAGATGTGAAAACATGAGACGGCTCTTCGACTTCTACATCCTATTGTCTGGATGTCGGTAGTGGAGCCTTTTGATCGAGAGAATATGAGCCGGAAAAGCAAAGAGCCCAAGAATCATGATACTGCAAGCTGTGAGAAAAAAGGCAGGGGAGGGGGGAATATGCAGCTACATCCGACTTCGCCGGGTTGAGATATTGGAAGTTTATACAGAATCGGACTGCGGGAGATATACCGAGCCATCAACATCCAATCAAAACAAGGACGAAGGTACCAAAGCACCACAGCCTGGGGAGTTATTCCAAATTATATTGAAAGCAACCTTGGCACCCGTTCTATTGCCCGTTAAGCAGCCAATCAACACCTTATAGACGCTCGAACGAATTCCGCAGCAGTCAGTGAGATATTCAAGTAAAGACGGCCCTATCGCATCCCTGCAGATGTTGTTACTCGCAAGACGAGAAAGTTGACAAAGAGGTCAGGGCGTTTTCGTTTTGATTGTCTTGGTATGCATGCTAACTTCTGCAGTCAACAGTGCCCAATGCATATACGTGCATATTTTATATTAATCATAGTTTCTTCGGTTTGCTATGTTATTGAAACCTTTATGGACGTGTCTTTCATCTTACTGGTGGACTTGCTAGAGACACACTTTGTCCGTATTCCGTATGGTAAGTCTTCGCGATGACGCTCCCGTGTGAGGCTTTCCAAGACCTTTTCCCGTCGATAGGGGCATCCAATTAATTAAATAACACCTAGGAGCTAGCGAAGGATTCTAGACACGGTACTCCGTACAGAGTATAGAAAAAAAATGTATTTCTACATTTTTGACTGGGTTCATAACTACAGAGCAGGCACACCACTAGTTTAACCACTTGATTGATGCCTCGCGATGTGGTGGAAAGTACACGGAACCCCGTATCTACTTAGTTATGGGGCACTCACGAGTCAAGGGGGCCACCAAGGTCGGGCTTTTTTTTTCTTTTTTTTCTTTTTCTTTTTTCTTTTCTCTCTTTTTTCTTTCGCCTGTCTATCTCTCGATTCCCGCTCTGCAGATGAAGAATAGTCTGCCGGCGTCCAATTAAAAGTGAGAAAAAGGAGCCTCGCTGCTGTGAATGGACGGATCGCATCTTCGACGCTGTTGGCCTTTGTTGCGAGTGGACGTCCGTCCTCTTTACCTCTTGGGGGGGAGATGAATGGCTGATGGATGAAAGAAAGAAAAGGCAAGTTTCAGTCCGCCTCGTCCGCTGCTGACATATTTGCCTGGTTACATGTCAGTCAGTTATTTGCTGCTAGAGAAAGAAGTCAGGCTAACTAGTCGCTGATATGATTTGTCCAGTTTTCCTTTGCTTTTTTGTTTGTTTTTGTTTTTTGGAACCAGCTGAACTTGAACTAAGTAACTATCCTCTGCCCTGCGCTCAATATATTCCGGCTCAGCTTTTTCCGTGACCCTTGGCCGTCGCCTGTACAACACACCATTCACTTCTGCGGCAAGGCGACGCGATCATATTTAAGCTAGAGTTTTGAGGCTTGGTGGAGGAAAGTTAATTAGCGCTCCTTTTTTGTTCCTCTGGGTGATGGCGCTGTGCAAACTCAACAGCTTCGATGCAGTCTGCTCTGGATATCTACCTGCATGATGGACAGTCGAACCACGGAACTGTTAGAAAAAAAGGCGTTCTGCACCATCCACAGAATTGATTGGGGAGAACGGCAGGATTTTTAAAAGACGGGAACGAACATTGGGTGTTTTATCTTCAGCCAAGTCGAGTCGAGAGTCACTCGGGGAAAGTCCCTGTTTACCTCGAACCATATATACAACAAGATGCTGAAAAGTATATATACATCAACGAGGAGGCAAGCTCGAGTAAACCTTATGGGCGGAAGCCTGAAGCTCACCTGGAGAACAACAATGTCTCTATCCTATCCATCAGATATGGTTTGCTTCGGCTTGGAGACTTTCTGCTATCTCCCGCGCCAGCGTGGTGTATCTGCGACGGTGACCTTGACATTAGGGGAGTATGGCAAGGCGGATGAGGAGAGTGGAAAGGCGAGCCATGGCAATGTCGCACAGCAGCCATAAGAATCCACCCCAAGTGCGGGTTTCCCAAGGGCAAACCCAACCCCCATTCCACTACGTTTCCCATCACCGAAGGGCATATTATATTCTACGTGCATACTCCCTACGAAAGGAATATGTATAGCTGTCTCCTTTGTCCATCATAGGGAGAATGCAGTGGTTTCGTTCACCTTCAAGGGACCTGCAAAAAAGCATTAGCCAACCGTTCGACCTTTCTCTTGTGTCGGATAGATTATCTCCATCGCACCTCCGCGGTTGCTGGGTCCCCCTTTTTTTTTTCTTTGCTTCTTTGCAGCCCTGCGAAGGCGGAGCGTCAGCAACAGGCTTTCGAGTGACGAAAGAAATGCTCCCATCATAACTTATCACCAGTCACCATATATTCCTTTTTTGCTGCTTTCCATTCCGTTTAACACAGAATAAGAAAGGGAAGGTTTGGAGCGCCTTTGGATCACTGCAGGGAGAGACTATGAGTTAATCGAAACCTAGGGAGACATGGTTAGCCCTTGTTGCTGGAGAGGCGAATGGAGAGACCAGAGGAAGACACTACTGACTGACCTTTACCACCGTATCTTTCCATAGAGGTAACTAAAGAAAAGGGAGGGCAACGCAAAGCCAACGGACATGATGACCTATTTCACCACGACTCTTTTTTCTTTGCTTCCTTCCATCCATGCCTGGCCGACTGGTTTCTTCCTCGCCATCTTCATCCTCCTCTTCATCGTAGCCGTTTTCTATTCCCATTTCCCATTCCATTTCCATTCATCAGCCACGCAAAAGGCAAAAACGATCTACAGCCAAAGCAAAAGCAACGCACCGCCGAAAAAAAGAGCCAGGAAAAAGAAACAATAATTGATCTCTTCACGGCCGTCTCTTTTCTTTTTGGCCTCTGCTCGCGCTTCTTCTGCTTGCCTGCTCTCTGCTTGCTGTTCTTCTTCTAAGTATACTCCGTACTCTCTACCCCTTTGGGTCGTGCCCAACCCTCAGATATCAGAATCTCCTAAGCCTGACCATGCCAGCGTCCCGTCGCCCATCACGAACCCACCACAAGACTCCACTGTATCCCTCCCATTCCCCCGTCCGTCTCTTCCTTCCGGGACGTAATATATAGTTTCTCCCTCGTAATTGAAAAAAAGAAAAGAAAAAATGATGAAGCTGAAAAATGGCGTCTCCCCAAGTCCCGTCATTACGGCGTCAGTATTCGGCCTGTAATGCATCACTTTCTGGCTCCCTTCCCACCCCTTTGCTTGCTTTTTCGTACCCCGTTTACACCAGAGAGAGGTACAGGGCCCTCCTTTTTCCTCTTGGGCTCCACGGCTGGCTGTGCTCTCGTTGGCAGGACACGCCGGTCGGGGCAAGTAAACCCGGTATTCGTGTCCAACAAGCCCGAGAGCGAAACGATGACATGTCGCTTTCCCGTTACCAAGCTCGATACTGGGCCTGTGGTGAATGTCGGTATGCCTGGATACGGACAGAAAGTGAACTCTGTATAATTCTCACAGCCTGCAGGTGTCCCAGCATGAGCCTCGATGGCCTCTTTGCCAGTGCTTCCCCTCCTCGAAGGAAGCCGAGTGTGAACCCATCCGGACGGGGAGAAAAAGGGGCCAACGAAAGGGAGTCAGCGGCAGCAACTCCGTATGTACGGAGGAAGTATATAACTACTATGAACGAGCATTCACTGCCCAGCTCGTCTCTGCTCGCCGTCGCTGGAAACCCGTAAGAGCAAGTAAGTACATGTATTTCTGCATGTATGGAAATATATTCTTCATGCTCCACTGTTTTTTTGGCTGCTTGTCCCCCTTCCTTTACAGTTTCTTTCTCATCCCTGTGGATTTCATCTTGTCTGCCTGTCTGTGTCTGTCTGCTTTGCCGGCTCGCTGCTTGCTCTGCGATGCTCTCTGCTCTCTGCTCTCTTGACTCTGCCTCTGGCTTCTCCCAAGAGTCGATTCGTTGTATTTTTTAGGCCTCGGGTCGACCTGACCTTTTGATGTCTCTCTCTGAACTCAGATATACACTTCCTTACTTACATATATACTTACTTAGCTTATGGGGGTGTGTTCGTTTCATCCTATCCCAACCTTCCGACTGCTTCCTCCACTTCTTCACTTGCCTCCATCTTTAGCGCTTTTCTTTTTACGGAGGACTTCCTCACTCTCTGTCACTCTCACTCTTCCTTTCTCTCGCTATCCCCCCCTTTTTTGCGTAAGAAACGGCGGTGTTGCTCTCTTGAGGCTGCGTGTCCGTCCCTGAACCGGCTTGCCCCTTAAATCCAGAACTGATATCAAAGTAACTAAATGCTCCGTGAGTCGATATCTGTCAAGCAGCCTCCTATCTACTCTTGCATCACCCCACCCCCCCCCCCCTTGTCTCCAGTAATTTTAAACTCGCCCTTGCAAATAAAATAACATAAAATAAAAAAAATAAAAAATAAAAAAATAAAAAAGCAGAAAAAAAGCAACGACTCGAGCAAAGAAAAGAAAATATAGAGAGAAGCACAAAAAAGCAAAGCCGGATAACCCTTGCTGGGGATCGTGGGTTGCTATCTATCGCCCCGTGAGCAGCCACACGAGTTAACTTACTCCTTTGCCCAATACTCTTGTGGCCCCTTGGGTTTTTTGCAGAAGAAGAGAAGTTGAAGACGAAGAAGAAGCAACAGAAGCGGAGGCAGAGGCCCCACTGGGCGATATTTTTTTTTTGGCTTCCTCCATCAAACAAATATCTAAAGAGGAGCCCTTTCGTCTGTCCGCTGCGTCTGCTTATTCTTCCTCTGCCTGCTACATCCACCGCCCTAACACCCCCCCCCCCCTCCCTCCCTCCTCTCCCTCTCCCTCCCTTGTCTATCCTTTTTCCGCTGTACCTTTGCTTCTTCCTCGTCTTCTTGTCTGGCAGGCATAAAGAGAGATATATATCAACGGCCTTCTTCCCTCGGATCTGCTTCGGATCTTCTCTTGGTCACCAGAAACAATCGTCGATCTATAACGGACATAGCTCGACCGCCCAAGGACCCTTTTGATACTGCTGCCACCAAGCTCCCTATCTATCCTAACAAACCAATTCGAGCGCCAGTCACACCAGAAGAAGACCTGGCTGTCTCTTCTCCCATCTCTATCTATCCATTCAATCAAGCAGATTTGCGCACCCGCGCCCTCAACACCTTTCTCAATGACTATGGTTCTGGAGCATGGGCATCGCCAGTATGGCGGTATGGGGTATGACAGCGGCGTGTACCAAAACCACGTCCAGTCCAATCCTCCGCAGTTCAACGATGCTTGGTCGGCGCAACCGTCTTCTCATCCTCCTGCCCCTGCATACCCTTCCTCCATCCCTCCTGCGAACCCGATCAAGCGCGAGGAGGTCCAGAGGCCGCTCCCGCCGGCCCTCTCCATGCCGTACTCCAGCGTGCCCGTCTCGGCTCCCTCGATGGTCCCAAACGGGAGCTATCCTGCAGTTACATATGGCGGCTCGGAGATGCTTGTGATGCCTCAGGAGATGCCGAGAACATCGTTGGAGCAGCAGCCGTCCTCGACCACGACCTCGCCCATACATCAGTTCCCGACTGCTTCATACGGCTCGATAGAGTACGCACACTCTCTGCAGCAGCAGCAGCAGCAACAGCAACAGCAACAGCAGCAGCAGCAGCAACAGCAACAGCAACAACAGCAGCAGCAGCAGCAGCAAGCTCACCATCAAGCTCACCATCAGCCACCACACCATCCACATCACCCGGAAAGCAGACCACTGCACCCAGGGTAAGTCCTTTTCTAAGTCCGTCCATGCATGGAATGGAAAAAGGGCAACAAGAAACATAAAGAAAAAGAAACACCCTAGGTCGGGACGTTGGTTGTGTTAACAAACTCATGTATAGATCTCAACCACACACACAAGGTCCGCCATCGAGCACTTTTGGTGACGCACTGGATGCGAGCCGCGGAATGGTTGCTTTAAGCCAGGACCTCACTCCCAGAGGAATCTACCCACCACGGGCATCCAGAGGGTCGGCAGACTCGTACGGGTTCCCGTCAGCCCACTCTTCAGCATCTTCGATCTCCTCCGGGAACAACTACCCATACTACAGTGCATCGGTAGTGTCAGTCGATTCTTCCGTGACAGACTATAGCTCGACAACATCCGAATCATACGATGGACTTGCTTCGCGGACTCTACCAAGACCGTCCGGTCTCATGGGCGCCATGCCCCCAGGACCACAGTCGATGATGGGCCAGTTCAGCTCCAAGGTGCCAGCAAACACCCAGAAGAAGCACAAGTGCAAGATCTGCGATAAGCGATTCACTCGGCCATCTTCGCTCCAGACGCATATGTACAGCCATACCGGTGAAAAGCGTAAGTCCCCTCCTTTCTAAGCTAACCCCGGTAAACAATAAGCGAGCCTAGAGTCGCTAACGATGCAATAGCATATGCCTGTGATGTTGAGGGCTGCGGTCGTCATTTCTCCGTCGTTTCTAACCTGCGACGTCACAAGAAGGTGCATAAGGGCGAGAAGGACTCTGGCTCCCCTGAAGAGGAGGAGTAGTCGAAACGGCATCAGGCAGCCAGCCGCATTGCATTACCGACCATTATTCTACCAATTATTATACGTCAGCACCTTCATGTTTCCGGATTACTCAGCTTGCCTCCTTAACCTCCTTTTCCGTTCCTCCGTTATGGTCTGGTCCATCCTAGACATCCTCTCTGCTCATTCACAGTTAATGAGCACAGATCCCTGTTTCACGACGCTCGATCAAATATACCCACGGCATTTTTTTTCTTACCTTGACCCTACGACCACGCTTCATCCTCTTTACTCTATATCTTGGCTGAACTTCAACACCTTCGAGATCCTTCTGATACCTTGTATACTAGGTTCCAGCTTCGTTGTCCATCTTTTTCCGTTCCTCCATTCTGCAAATTCCTCGCTCTCGGCACCGCCGGGAAACAACTCTTATCTGATACCCATTCGACAGGAGCATCTTTTTTACTTCTGTGTCATCACCATCATCATCATCATCATCAATTTTCTTTTCATGTCTTTCTTTTCTTCCCTCATCTACCCCACGGCGGTGCACTGAATTATACATACGGGGCAATAGGGGCGCGATCCCCAATCCGGTAGGGGGTATTCAGGCTGCTTTATCATAAATCGGCACTCCGAGTTGAACGCTATTTGTTTGTTTCCTCTCTGTCCCTTTTTTTACTTTTTCCTCTTTTTCCCCCATTCGTCATCTGTGATAGAAGGAGTTGTCTCTTTTCCTCTTACGATTTCATCCTGTCTTTACCTGGTTTTGAGGCTTCATTATTTTCCCTATTTTTTTATTTTATTTTTTCTTTTCATTTTTTTGTTAACCCTGGGATATTCGGTTTTTTTTTTTTTCTTTTTTTTCTTTTTTCTCCTACTCTCTGATACTTCCACGATGAATTCATATACCCTGCGTTTCGTCGAGTTTACCTTCTATTCTACCCTTTTACACTTGTTTGGCCTGCGCTAGAACGGAGCGTCATGTGCATTTTTTCCTCATGTCTATCAGTATCGCTCCGTACAGTTAAGATGCCTTGAGTATCTTGTTGGATTCGGCTATCTAGCATTTAATGAACAACTACGTTATGCAAAATCTCCCTTTTAATATCTCTTGGTCTGCCATCGCTTTTGTCACTGCTAAACACGGGATACGGTCCATGGTAGGTCAGCCTTCCTGATCCCCGTCCTGCATCATCACTGACTTACTGACTCACCTCTTAGAAATCTTCTTGGATGGCTACGTATGCCAGACTGCCAAGCGAAACCTCCCTTGGAAGTCATTATATGCCAGCCACGCCATAGTATCCTCAGCACTCGGTCGAGTCTTGCAAGCATCCAGCCAACGGTCATCCCATCATATAGCCTTCCTCCCTCAGCCTGCTGACCATGTTGATATCATCACTAATATTATTGCCATAGGCAGTAATTACGTCTCCAGACAATGTTTCATTGACCTTGTCTGAATCCGCTGAACCTACACCAGGTATCAATTACACGTTCGAAAAGGCGAAAGGCCAAGCGCCATGGACATAGCAATCCCGGACGAGACCTGTCTCTCTCTCTGTGTGTGCCCTCCTCCCTTCTTGTCTGTGCCGTCCTGTCAAAGTTGCAAATAGGAAGGGAGTCAGATATATCATTCCATTATTGCGTTCCTTCGCCAGGGTCCCGCTGCAA